ATTAAAATATAGGTCAGTGAATGTATCCATGTGGCACCATTCCATATGCTGTGATGGAGATGTCCTCTGGGGCTGGTGTGCTTGGGTATCAGTCCAGCTCCTCCACTTCCTGCCTCAGTTTCCTCCTCTGTGAAGGGGTGGCAGGTAGTACCTAGCTCATAGAGTTGTAAGAAGCCCATAAAATGCTGGCTGAGAAGTGCTTAGCACAGTACTTAGACTATACATAGCACAGCATTAAATAAATATTATTATAAAATATATAAAATTGTTCTTTTTCGCTTGGATTAACCTTGGGAGAATAGCAGGGTACTGAAATAGGACAATCATGTAAGGACTAAATTAAAAGCTTCATTATTTGTAGCCTGTTATTTCATAAAGCAAGGTGTAGTTCTGGATTTATTGGCCTTGGTGGAGTTTATATATTTCTGGTGAACCTGAAAGCTTCTCTACTATGTGTCTACATCAAATATCAAATCAAATCAAATCAAGTCTAATCAAATCAACAAGGTACCTGATTGTTTTTCCAGACATAAAGTTCAAGAGCTTTTTGAATTTGGAAGATAACTTCACTGTGTGATATCCTATTATAAATATTGCCAATATTTTGAATGAAAAATCCTATTTTCAAGGAGAAATGGGGAAATTAAGAGCTCATTTCGGTGATTAGCTCAGTCAAAAAGTTTTGTTTATATGACTTTGTTATCAGTGATTCCCTGGGGAAAACAATAAAGTTAACAAAACTATTGCAGATAAGTATCACATCTAAGAGAGAGCTGTTTGGAAACTACTAAAACATTAAGAAGTCTGGTATAATATTTAAAACCTGTAGCTTTCCTATATTATATGATAGGAGATTGATGTATGTGAAAACGTAAATTTTGTTGCCAGCCTTGTAGTTTACTAGTGCATCTTTTCTCAGTTACCCAATATAAATGGCCTTTGTGCATTTTAGTTGCCATTACTAACAAAGAAAAATAACTCCTTTTTATTGGTTTGTTGGAAGTTAAAATATTATTTTATGCACTTTATAGTAACTTTTAAAGCCTCTGGTCACTGAGGTGAGAAATGAAATTTATTTAATCATCCGGATATCTTGTTATCATCTAGATAACACCCAATATTTGATTGACTGGATTTATTACTCTGGTCTTTAGTTATAGTAGGAGAAATTTGTTTTTTCCCTCTCAAAATATATTCCAGTGATAAGAAGTCCTAAGGGGTAAGAAGCACCTTTGCAAGAAATCAGAGCGAATATTACCAAGTTTAGTTCCTGCCCATCTCAGGTTATTGAAATTTTGATTTGCTGAGGAATAATCCTGCCTGAATAAGGTTCCTCCCCTTGACTCCAGTGACATTTGTCACCTGTGTAAATAGAAGCCTCTGTAAAATCCAAAACACTATTATATTAAAGTGAAAAACATATATTTAGCTTTTTTATATAATATTGAACAAAAATGTTATTTTTCCTGTAAAATTGATGTTTAGCTCCCATATACATGAACATAAGGCCAATGGCAGTAGGCTTTTGTTATTTTATAAAATACGGTAGGTATCAATCATGGTGCAAAAAATGCTGCAAGAGGGGCCCGGGCACGGCCAGATGTGGTGGTGGGGTCTGTTTAAGTCTGTCTTTCCCTCAGCTCATCTCAGAATTTTCTCATCGATGCAGGCAAAGAGCTAGGGACAAAGTAGGACATCGGCTTCTCTTGCTGTCTCTGAATTAAGAGTTTTAAAATTCAAAGAACATCAGAGTACCTACTTGGGTCTCCTCAAGTCTCTCTCTTTTCTCCTTTTCCCTCCTTCAGAATGGAATCCCAAATCGTTCAGTAAACATTAGAAAATATATGTCCTGCCTCAGTCCTTACACAGCTAAACTTGGGGCAGAATGGATGTCTTCCCTCTCAAATCAGTTTCCAAGTTTTATTTTTCTGTGCTAGTCATAATCTGATGCATAACACTGTGATATAATTGACTATGACTTAAACAGCACCAAAGGGCTGGATTGATCACCACAAGACAGATCTTAAAGAAATGTAAAAGACCATTTTTTTCCCCTTTCAAAGAAGAAATATTTGGGGCTGTTATAAGTAGATTCCTAAGGAGAGTTGAAAAAACAAATAGGTACCTAGGTACCTGCTCTTGGGCCTCCCCAAACCTGGGTCTACCTAGTCTGGGCCATGATTTCTCCCAGTAGATGTTCCATGAAACACTAGTCCTTTGATCTGCTTCATAATAAAACTGATGTGAAATGAAATGAAATAAAATGAAGTACTTTGCATTGAGTCATGTACTTTTAAAATCATGAACATTATTTCTGTTTTTTAGAGTCTCCCAACACTTAGATGTTTATAAAAAATATTGTACAGAGGACAAAATCTTCTTGATTTTCAAAACCAGTGTTTCTCAGAACTGTTTGATTAATCATCTCCTTTTATAATTATTATAATTCCTCAGAACTAGTGTTCTGCAGGACTCTTATCGTGAACTATCATAGCTCATTGATTTCCAGATGCACATTTTCTTCACTTTTTGACACCTCTGAAATGGGGATGCGTCTTATGTTTGATGATGTCCTGGGTTCAAGGATATACGGTATTTCCCTTGTAACTTCAATGTCAGTTATGTGTGTTACTTAGTTATGATTAGGCTCATTTGAGAGTGACAACAGTCCAAAATGATCTTGGCTTCAATAATGTAGACACTGATCTCTCACCACCAAATCTGGAGGAGGGTGGTTCTCCCCTGCAGGTGCCCTCCATGGTATGGGTACCTGAGCTTCTTTCTACTTGTGATTCTGTTTTCCAGAACCTTTATATCCAATGGTTTAAGCAGGCTGCTCCATGTCTACTATATCCAAATGGCTGTCAGCAGGAAAGGAAGAAAAAAATCAATAAAAAGGAGCAAAGTCAAGTGCTAGATGTCTCTTAAGGAAAGTTCTCAGAAACTGCCAATGACACTTCTGTTTATACCCCATAGGCCAGGACTTGGTAATGTGACCACACCTGGTAGCCAAGGGGGTTTAGGGAATGTACTCATTTTTTTGAGCTTGCATGTGCTGAGCTAAAATTGTTACAGTTTTCTTCCCTATGAATAAAAGGGAAGCCTATGAAAAGGGGGCTTAGCTCTCTGCCATGATGCCATAACTGAATATTAATATTTACAAGAAGTAGATCAATTAAAAATACTCTTTATATAGAAATTGGAGAGAGATCAAAACATAACTCTTTCAACATTAAGACATGAAGGCAAATACTGTTGATAATGAAAAATTCATTTTGCCTTTAGCAACCAAAAAATTAGCTCTTTCCCCTCCAGTATCAAATAGTTTAGAAGACATTTCTTGCTATTCTTAGCCTTGTATTATGAAGATTAAAGCAGATGATATTCTCTGTTGCCCTCTTTTGATTCTCAGGTTGCCTTTATTCTGCTCCAACTCTAAGTTTCTGCAGTGTGGTCAGTCTAATGGTGTAAGAATCTAACATCGCCTGGATTTCTGATGCTGGTCTTTAAAGTTCTCATGCAGACATTCTAACGTGATCTGCTTGACATTTTCCACACTTTTCTTCCATCATCTAAAAAGCAGTGCTTTTAGTAATGGAACTCAGGGTTTGTTAACTTTTCCTATCAGATGATAATAGCTCTTTAAATAAAAAAATGGACTCTCTCATTAAAATTCAAATGTATAAATATTTTGGATGGATACATTTTCAAGCAGACATGTAAATTATAAATTTTCCTTTAAACTTTGAAGCTGTTATATACTTGTCAGAAGTCATTTTTTTTGCAAGATATGGGTTCAGTAGCCTGACTGGTTCAACACACAATCATAAAACTTTTAAATAGGTAAAATTTTAGCTTTTGCAGACATTTTACTTCTGTTGTAAAGTATCTATATATTTCTGATAAAATAGAAAAATGACGAAGAGAGCATAGTGTTAAGGGTTATAAACACCTGGGTCTCATTTCAGGGGTATTTCTCATTACCTGAGAGATCTTAGTATGTCATTTAACTTTTAAAAGTTTATATCCTCATTCATAAAATAGAGTGAATAATATTGCCCTGATTATATTACACAGAGCTAGTAAGAAGATAAAAGAAAATAATGAGTATTAAAACACATCAAAAACTTTAAAGCACTCTCAAAAATAATGTGTGTGTATGTGAATGTGTGTGTATACATAAGTGATAAAAATTGATACAGAAACCCTTATTTGGTTGGAGTCCTGATTATGGAAGTAAAAGTTATCACTGTTTAGGAAAGTTTGGAAAAACAAGGATATTGTTTTTCAGATTTTCTTTGAGTGATATGAACAGAAGAAGTTTATTAACATTTAGTTTGCTTTCACAGAAGGACAGCAGCTAAAATGGACTCTCAGGACTTTAACATGGGATTTTAAGACATAATATTATTGTACATTTGGCATTACAAACTTCCTGAAGTCCTTCTTAATATTCCAGCATTTTATCACTATCAACTAATTGATCCTGGTTTTATTTCCCGGTGGCTGGTATACAATGGGTGTTCCTTGGGGCTGCAAGCATGTTAATGCAAAGTTGCCTTCAATGCATTATTTCAAAATTAATTTCACATGGAATCACATCCACACTCCAACAGAGGAGGGACGTACAAGTAAGTATTTATGAGGTCAAATTTAAATAACCTCATGCAGTCTTTGATGTGGTGACCAAAAGTCTGACCCAAGGTGGAGGAGCCTTTGATTGAAACTATTGCGCTCTCCTGTAACCCAGCAAAAGCATTCTGTGCGTGGTTCTAATGATTTTGCACTCTGCTATGGTTCCTTGCATTCAATTGCCATTTAAAACATATATGAGATAGAAATCCTACATCCCTAGTACTTTACAGAGATGCCATTCAGGAAACATGAGTGTACAAAATAAAAAAATGATGATCAATGTTATGCAAGGGTTTCGCATTTTCTTATAAAGGGTACAGGGATGCGTTGGAAGCGATCCAACCTGTCTGTCTCTTCTCCCTTAGGCTTCTCTACCTGCAACACGTGATCTTCCCGAGTTCTTTGCTGCCTCTTATAAATGGCCTGGCTGGACTCACGGCCCCTTGGATCAAAAAAACTGCGCCGCGTCATGGGCCTTTTCCACTGCAAGTAATAGTCACTTTGATTACTTCCTTATGATTTTCCCTTTGACTCTAGACCCGGGGAAGTAATTGGAAGGTTTTAAAATTTAGAATATTTAAAAGTGATTGTTGGGTCAGTTAAAATAAAATCTTCTTCTGACTATAGAAAGCAACCTGAAGATCATACAAAAAATCCATTTTTACTCTATTTCTAGGGCCCAGTTTTAAATAGAGAATAAAGCAGAAGAGCAACAAAGAAAAGTTGCCAAAATCAGTTCATGCTCTGAGAGTTAAGATCAGGTAATAAGAAGGATATAAGATTGCTTTTTGTCTATAATATTATCTATAATACTGATATGCATACCCATGGAATTCTTATATTCTTTTCTCCTTAAAAGATTTGAAAAATATACTTAAATATTAAAGTAATGTGAATGTAAAGTAAGATTTCAGAACTAAATGATAAGGGATGAAATGGATTTTATCTCATTTTAAATGAAAGCACATATGGAAGTTTTGACTCTAAGTGATATAACTGGGCTTTCAATCAGAGTAGCTTCCTAATGTGCTGCTGTTGTTTCAAAAGCATAAAGAACACCTATTTTTAGCTACTTTTCTATAAATTTGCAAGTCCAGTAGGTCACTACTCAAGCTAATCCCAAGATTTGGCCTCCAAATTACCTCAAAGGATTATTGGTTGTATCCCAGCAATTAAATTAAACCTAACATGATGTTAATTGGCTACAAAGATCTTTGTAAAACTAAGCTCTAGGTTTGAAGATAATTCCAAAAGAGTCTAAAACAGTCTGGCTACTGGACGCATTGTGAAATAAGTGCATAGTCTCTTAGAGAAGCCAGCTCTGAGGGGTGACACTCCTTGGGACAGAAAAGGATATAGTTTAAGTAGATTAGGACAGGTGAGGATCCTGTCCAAAGATACTGATATATTTGTTTAAATATCATTACTTCATAGTATCAGCTAATTTGCACTAGAAATAATACCTTTGGTCAAGCTTACCTCTGGAAAGGTCCCATCTGTGAGCTCTATGCTTCTGCCTCCTTGTTCCCCTGCAGAAATGGTGTCTAGTTGTCAGATGTTTGACGTCGCTGCACTGGGAATGCATATGGAGACCTCTTTGAGCCCTGTTTCAGATGAGTGGGAAGAGATTTAATCAGATAAATCTTTTGTCATTTGTATTCATGTGGTTAATATATCCTACTTCCTTCGTGATATATATGAGAATCTTGCTTGAAGTTCAAATTAGACCAGTATTTCTGAAAATGTCTTAGGAAAGATATTGGTGGTGAAATAGTAAAAGTAACTTGCTAAGCTAATTTGATAGTGGATTTTGGTGTCCCCATGTTACATCCCCACAGATGGCCTCAGCAAAGGGCTAAATCTGGATTTTGCCCCCTACATAATTCACCAGAGAGAGTTTTTTAAAAATACTTTTGTGGTTTTAGAGGGCACAGTTTTATATTCTGTGTATTCAGTGTGGCAAATCAGGCTGGTGGTGTTTGTTTTAAGTAAAGAATAGATTAGGTTCTCTTAAAGATCTAGAAAATTATGTCAGGATGTATGGTTAAGATAAAAAAAAATTGTCTACAAGTAACCTAACAGCTATAAAATGGAATAAATAAGATATTTAAAAATATATACATATATAAAAGATTACAGCCAAATAAAATTCAAGCAAGATGTCAGACACTGAGGAGGTGAAGGAGTTTGGAATGGTGAGAGTGATTCGTGCTGCAGAGCAAGTTTGCGGTAATTACGTAAGCAAGTAAAACAATAGAGTGTACCTCAGAGGTACAGCCCCATAAACGTTTTCAAAAAAAAGAGTGCCAACAATTTGCGAAACTGAGTCATCCATAAACCTTCTGGCTTTTTCTAAGTATTTCAGATGAATTTGGGTTAAATATTCACTGATTTAGAAATGTTTACATAAGAAAAACACATTGCATACCATTAGAATTGAAAACATTGACCCTTTTGTTTGGTATCTACAGATTCATGAATCTGGAAGAGATTTTAGAGGTCACTTTTTTCAAGTGTTTGGTTTTATATAACAGACACAAATAGGTGAAGGGACTCACCCAAAGCCAAAAGCTGAGAAGTCTCAAAAAATGGGCCTGGAAGCCAGGTTTCTGACTTGACTACTGTGTTGCCTGCATTGTAAAAGTATTTTCTGAACCAAAGAACAATTACACTAACGTTTTAAACATTTGTACTTGATTCTGAACCCTTGTACTAAAAGTCAAAGCATCAAAGAATTTCTCTTTTTTTTATGAAATAGGAGATAATTTTCTTGAGAATAGCAGAGGTGGTAGTATAATGTCATTTGCTCCTGTGAAACATATCCTAGCATAGCAATAGTTGGGAATTGAGAGAAAGTAGGAAGTTGCAGATTCAACACCTACTGAGTGTCTGAAACGTGCCAGCAATTGCACCACTGAATTGTACATATGCTTAGTTATATAAAATCCATGTATATACAGAAATACATATGCAAATGAATTATTTTAAAATGGATTATTTTAGAATAATTCTAAATTCCAAAATGAATTATTCTGGAATAATTATAAATCTTGAGGGATTCCAGTACACAGACAATTTTGATGAGCAAAAGCTATAATTTCTGAGAAAACTGGATGGATAGAAGAAAGGTTATGACTTTGTTGTCTTTAATTAAGAGATTAAACCTTAAGAACAAGACTGTTTGAGGCATCCAACAACCACAGAAAATCTGTACCAAAATGGTAACCCCCAATTTTCTCATGACCTCATCACTCTGATTAGCCTATCATGGGAGTGTGATCAAAATGATAACAATGTGTAGTTTTCTGCTGCTGGTTGGTTAGTTTCTCTAGTCTATTATTCTATGAGGGCAGAATTATGACTCTCATTTCTTGTTCCTCATGGCAATTTCTAGTGCTTAGTACAATGACTGTCACCTAGTAGGTGGCTGATAAATAGGGGAAAGGAATGAACTTATTAATAATAAACATACTAGGGGAAAAATATATATATAAATAACAAGGTGAATTCTATGTCTACTGTAATAAGATTAGGGTCATGATTTTCAAGAATATTGTGAGCACAAAAGTGGGTTATGTAGCTTTTAGGTATTTTATAAGAGAGATTCGTATTGGTCTGAAGTCTTAATAATGGTCTACTGGGTAATTAAATGGTCTCCTAGATATTAGCTTAAAAGCCAAGGATCTGAGTTATTACCATATATCATATTAAAATGGATGTGTTTCCAATTAATATTTCTGTGGTCATCTTTTTTGATCTCATCAGTTATATTCATTTAAAATATATATATATTTATCCATGACTATAGGTAAAATATGTTCTAGGTGCAAGAGATACAAACGTAAGTAAGATATGGCTCTTGACCTCAAGGAGTTTCACTTGACAGATTTCTTAATGAAGAATTTGGAAGTATTTAGAGTATGAAAGGAACAAGGAACTGGAAAAGTCTTTGAAGTTGATAAAAAATGGAGCAATGCCAAAACTGGACAAAAGTTATGATGGAAATTATGACACAATTGAACATGCTGGAATACACAGATATATTAATGACCTTTTAATTTTAAATTACACGAAGTTTTGAAGACTAGTGTTGAATTCAAACAGAGTAGATTATTAGAAATACCATGTGCCATTTGAATATTAATCAACATTCTATTTAAAACAGGTGTGGCAGCTGACCGAATAGCAATTCAGTCTAAGGGGCGATACACAGACAATCTATCGCCTCAGAATTTGATCTCTTGCTGTGTCAAAAACCATCACGGATGCAACAGTGGAAGCATCGATAGGGCTTGGTGGTACCTGAGAAAACGTGGGTAAATAGCTGCCCAACATGTGTTTCTAGGATTCTTATGAGGGCTGCTTGGGGTTAGAATAAGAAAAAAAATATTTCAAGGTCTTTAACCAAAAGATCTATAAATATATATGTTACTTCTGTATAAATATGTGTACTGTATTTGAATATACATTGTATTTAGTGACTACTGAGGCTATCAGATATTGGAAACAATTCTTTGAAGAATGTATACATTCTTAGCTAAATTCATAGGAAGACACAAGTAAGCTTGTCTTCTTGTTGCTCTAGGCCAAACTGGTTCTACTGAGTCCCCATGGATACAGAGTAGTTGATGTTATTAGTACCTCAGTTGAGACTTTCAGTTACCCAAGTAGATGAATAGATAACTCCAGGTTAAATTAGATTATGATCAGATGAATAAAAAAAGGAAGAAATTTGTAGTGGTCTCAACTCATCAACAACATTGTCACTGTCTTTATGAGAAAAGGCACCTTGCATATCCTTGCTCTCATGTAGTCTGATAAACCTGCACAGCATCTCTGTGTCTACTCGAAGAGCTAATGTACTTAAATACTGAGTCATTCGGCTAAGAAAACTGCAACAGATAGCTAGCAGTGTATATAGTTACTGCTCACCTGCTCTTTCCTCCTTCACTGAGTGTGTTGTGTCTGCTATAGAACAGTTAGGTCCTATGGGAGTGGGGTATTAGGTATTGACGGGTGTCAATAAGTTTCTTAAATCTGTTTTCATATATTTTGCTTAATAGATGATGTTTAAAATGGATAAACTGGGCTGATGCCTTCCTAGTAGTGTTTTGCTGGCTTCTGTTTTGCACTATGATAACAATTAAAACTGTTTAGGAGCTTAAAAATATAAATTCACATTGAGACCCAACTAAATCTCATCATACTAGTCTTTTCAGATTAACATAACAAAATACCATAAACTGGTTGGCTTAGATAACAGGCATTTATTTCTCATAGTTCTGGAGGCTGAGAAGCCCAACAATAAGCTTTGGCTGATTCATTTCCTGCTGAGAGCCCTCTTTCCTGGCTTATCCTTTCCTTGTGTCTTCATATGGCAGACAGACAGCTCTAGGGTCCCTTCCTTGTTTAATAGGGACATTCATACATGATGAAGGCTCCACCTTCATGATCTCATTCAAAACTAATTATCTTTTAAAGACCCCCATCTCCACATACCATCACATTGGGGTTAGGGCTTCAAACACATGAATTTGGGGTGACAATCCAATCCATAGCACTCGTTATTCCACAGTAACACATTTAATGCAAGATTTTTTTGGAAGTGTTTAGTATTTTTAATGACTTTGCTTTTATCACGTTCAGATTTTCTTACTCTATTGATATTTGTATTTTCTTGAAGCAATTCTATTGGGTATGTCTATGTCCAGTTCAACATTGAATATATAAAAAACAAATTTCATTCTTTATTTTTCTTACCATCTTCTTCTATATTCAATGACTTATGTTAGAGTTGTTGCCAAATGATTTGTACTTTCCTATATTCAGTTTCAAAATCAGAAATCAAAATTATTTTATCTTTTGTATAATATATATATCTAGTAACATTTCACTTTATTTACTTTTAATATTATATTAGTTTATACTATTTCTCCCAAAGTATCATGAACTATAGACCCAAAATAATTGAAGTCTTATGAGAAAGTATCTGTAACTTAATACAAATGTTAAACAAAATCCTTAATTCAGAAACTTCCATAATTTTAAAGGTTTTTAAAGTATAATGAAGAAATAAGAGGGGGCAGGCAATAGTGTTGTGTCATTGAACTGCTGTGTTGGGATTATCAACATTTTGAAAGTTATACATATAAGTAGCCATAATGATTTATGAATGCTTAATTCAATAAAATTGCATATATAAGATATCATGGTATTTTCCTAAGTATTGCATTTATTTTCTTTGCTTATTCCTCATAGGCTGGTATCCCATGCCTGCTATCCACTTTTCAAGGACCAAAATGCTACCAATAGTGGCTGCGCCATGGCAAGTAGGTCTGACGGCCGGGGAAAACGGCATGCCACGAAACCATGTCCCAACATCATCGAGAAATCTAATAGGATCTACCAATGTTCTCCTCCCTATAGAGTCTCTTCCAACGTAAGTCTAAATGGCAACAATCAACAATGGTTGACTTTCTCAAATACATATATATAACTCTTATGACTAAAACGACTTAAAAACTATTATTTTCTAAAATAACGCTCTATTTTCAGGCATAATTTTTGGCATTCTTTAAGTGTCCATTAAAAACTTCCAGTTTGGGTGTGATTTTGATTTTTGTAATATCAGCAGTATAAATGACTGGTTTAAATTTTAAAAAGGCAAAGGAAATAGAATTTTAAAATTATGTTTTATATATATTTATATACTTGAGAAATAAAAGCTAAATCAAATCCTTTTTTTCATTAACTTTTTTGTGACAGTGGCTCATTTTATTAATTCTTTCCCCTACTCAACAAAACAATTGAAGAGGACATAGGTGTAATGGAGAAAAGACCCTCTCGGATTCCAGTTTGTTGTGTTAAAAGCCTGTGCAAAGTTTTTTCCAGCATATCAGAGTTACCCGGACCATCTCACTTTCAGAATATCCGAACCTTTAGTGGCTTCCAATTACCTGCAGAAAACAAATCGGTATTCTTACCATGACATACATGACTTCTCATGATTTGGTGCTCACCTATACTTGTACAGAGTCATGCTGGCTAGCACCTACCCTTCTACTGTCCATAATTCTCCTGATAAATAGGACTACTGTCTGTTCTCTAGATATACCAGTTTCTTCCATGCATCTCTACTTAGCCAAGCAGTGATTCCTCTGACCCAAATTGCTATCCCACCTATTTGCATCTGGCCAAATGCCACACGTGTGTCAAGGCCCAGGTCGAAACTTCATTTTCTCTGTGAAGTTTTCTTGACTCCTAGGTAGCATGAATTTCCCTTTCTTTTCTGCATCCCTGGCACTTTGTGCTTATCTCTATAATAGAACTTAGAGCAACATCCAGTTAGTTGCATTACTGTCTCTCTACTCCACCAAAATGTAAATACCTTGAGGTTAGGTGCAGGATCAGTATTAGCTTCTGTCCTAGTTTCCTGTATGTACTCTGTGATCAGTGTATGTAAGTGAATGAATGAATGACCCACCTTTTTTCTAAGGTCTGTATCACACAGTGGGTGATAACAGAAAATAGAAATATTTTATGCTAAAGCTACACTGAGGGACCTTACTAAACAATCATCTGGCATCATTCTTGTGATCAGAGAATGGAAATGACACTAATCTCCATTGATAAAACATGGTTTTAACTTAATTTCTTTGTGACCATGAAAAGTTATTACTACATTTTCTCTTCATTTAAAAGTTATTATCAGTGGTAAAAGTCAATGAAACAAATGGTGCATCTTGTCATAAGCAATTTCATCAATGTGGCATTTCACACGTGAGTATTTTAAGGCATGGTTAAAAGTAAATTACAAGTGGTCAAGGCACATTGGATTGATTGTGTAACTCCTAAATTGACTGTAGAATACCTAACATTATATACTTAACAATACATTTATTATGCTCTGATAAAAATAATGATGCTTAATATTTTTCCTTCCAGGAAACTGAGATAATGAAAGAAATCATGCACAATGGACCAGTTCAAGGTAATCTTAAATGAAATGAAGTTGTATCTTATTTATATCTTTAATAAACAACATTAAATTTTAACTCATGTAAAAGGAGCTTAAAAAAGACAGAAAATTTTTACTTTTTGAGTGTTGATGAGGGTTTGGCAGTTCTCAGATCAATGCAATTATAGGAGATATGCTCACCCAATAACTTCATTAGCTGTCATTTTATTTTAAGAAGGTAGACTCACTCAAATTCTTAAATATTAAAGATATATTGGACAAAATATTCTGCCAGGTTTTTTCCAAGTGATCATGGGCCAGACAGTCTTACATAAAATGCTAAGTGATGGAGCTCATTTAAACTTTCAGTTATGTTTAAGAATCATATATAAAGTTAGAAATTTTCTAAGCTTCATTTTAAATGGATTAGATAATAGATTGAAAAAATATCAAGGTTTCACAGTAGAAAAGAGTAGTTTTTCTTTTTCTATAAGCTCAACATAAACCAAATTAGCTAGTATGATTTTATGTTTTATGAAAGGCTTTTTTATTTTGATCAATTTTATAAATGTGTTGTGGGAGTAAAATAATAGTAAATAAGAAAATAATATGCTGATTTACTATATATTGACTTATTTTTAATATACAATTTCTGATACAGAGTTCCTATGCTTACTTTATGAATTTTATTTTGCAACAATGCAAGAATAAAGATGAGTGCATAGTGTACATTCCTTGTATTAAATATTGCCTTGATGGAAATTCAGGCTGTGAATACTAAGTAAATTTAAATTAACCAAATACATTTAAATAAACCAAAATTAATTCAAAACATTTGATATATACCTAAGGAACTATTGGCCTATATTTATTTTTGTTTTTCTGAATGCTGACCTAATTAGTATTGCTTCCACAACTAACAGGAACCATGGTTCTAAAATTACGTCAGAAGAATTTTCAGTGATTATTTATCACCGCTTAACATTTATTGAAAAAATGAAGCTTACATTAAATGTGTCCTGAATTTAATTTTAAAACTTAACACAAAACCTAAAACAAATGAAGAAAACATGTTTTTCTCCTTAGAGTTATGCAATGTTTGTTGGCTGTGATAAGAGCTGGAGAATTCACGTGCAATTTAAATGTACACCTCAGTAAGTGGAGTTTGTGTGAGAAACTTAAAGGAACAAAAGCATTTGAACTCAAGGCTGAATTCGAAATCCCAATTTTGACATTTGCTACTGCAATTAATTTGGACACATTATTTAACTTCTCTGATTCTTCAAATCATTGTACTGCTGCTTCAAGTTTCTTTCCATCAGTCAAAAGAATTTGGACAGTCATTGTTTAAGATGGAGAAACACTTCAGGTTTGTTTGATGGTCAGATATTTAAATGGTCATGCATGTCACATCAAGAATGAAAAATAAAGAGATACTATTGGANACATTATTTAACTTCTCTGATTCTTCAAATCATTGTACTGCTGCTTCAAGTTTCTTTCCATCAGTCAAAAGAATTTGGACAGTCATTGTTTAAGATGGAGAAACACTTCAGGTTTGTTTGATGGTCAGATATTTAAATGGTCATGCATGTCACATCAAGAATCAAAAATAAAGAGATACTATTGGAAAATAATGAAGTTGAAATCCAAATTACTCCACATCCGTTTAACAAATGTTTGTTGAGAACTTGCCTCCTGCCAGCCTGAGCCAGGAGCAGGGATAGATCTGCCATCAGGGTGGGCTCCCGCTGCCCTCAGGTGTGTTCTCATCTGTGTAATAAGTTTACTGCAGTTTCTGAAAGTAAAATTACTCTTTAGTAGCTTATATTCATAGCTATATGTTTATAGGTTCATCAAGTCTGTTTTGATGCCACCTGAACAAAGGAGCCACCTTCAAGTTATTTGGGATGGCCTCTCACCCAAATTCAGGTGGCAATGTTTTTCAGCAATGAAGAGCATTTTATTCATAGTGTTTAGAGAGTTGAGAAGAGCTAAAGGAGTCAGTGGTTCAACAGAAGAGAAAAAAACACTAGCAATACCTGCACATATTTATAAATGCTAGTTGACTCATCTTGCTATAGATGCAACATGATTGTCTGGACATTGAGTGCCTGGGCTAACGTAAAACATTTTCCTCTTAGTATTAAAGAATTTAAAAGGCAATGGAATGACAAATAAATAACACTATGGGCATAAATCATTAGGATTAAAAGTATGTTTAGGCATTGGAAAGAGAACAAAAGTAAAGATCTGCATGGAGCACAGTTACAAAAATTCTTAGAATCCTATGGAATGTGTTTTAAAGCAGATAAAGATGATTTAAGCTCTGAGAATATTTGAATAGCATTAGAAAAGGCATGGAACATTAAAAAAAACTGGAACACTGAAAAGCTATGTTTGGAGTAGAAGCTTCATTTTTGAATATCTATTGAATGCTAGTGACCTTAGTTCTTATTTTATTTAAAACACATGTCAAACTAAGATAGACAAGCATTGCACACAGTTATCA